ACAGGCACGTGCCACCATGCCCAGCTAATGTTTTGTATTTTTAGTAGAGATGGGCTTTCACCATGTTGACCAGGATGGTCTCTATCTCTTGACCTTGTGATCCACCCGCCTCGGCCTCCCAAAGTGCTGGGATTACAGGCTTGAGCCACCGCGCCCGGCTAAAATGAAATTTTTAAAAATTAGGAGTACACATGAGGCCGGGTGTGGTGGCTCATACCTGTAATTCCAGCACTTTGGGAGGCGGAGGCAGGCGGATCACCTGAGGTCAGGAGTTCGAGACCAGCCTGACCAACCTGGAGAAACCCCGTCTCTAGTAAAAAATACAAAATTAGCTGGGCGTGAGGGCGGATGCCTGTAATCCCAGCTACTCAGGAGGCTGAGACAGGAGGATCGCTTGAACCCAGGAGGTGGAGGTTGCGGTGAGCCAAGATGGTGCCATTGCACTCCAACCTGGGCAACAAGAGTGAAACTCTCTCTCAAAAAAAGAAGTATACATGAAATTTATTTACTCCAACGGTCATTGGCAAGTGATTATGGCAAAGAAGCTAAAGCCAGAAATATTCAGTGTGTTACAGGATGTCATCATTGTAAAGACAAACTAAAACATTAGTAAACTATAAAAAAATTAAAAGGAATTAAGTGCAATGAAAAAGGAAACAGCACAGGGGAGTCAGAAACGATGGGAGTGTAGATTCAACTGCAACAGTGAAGTGGGGAGGCTTCACTGAGTTGTCATTTGAGCAGTTTGAAGACTGTAAGACAGTCATACAGAGTTGAGGGGTACAAGGGAAGAATGTTCCAGGCAGAGCGTAATAATACAAAAGCCTTAGAATAGAAGTGTGCCTGAGATGTCCAAGGAACAGCTGGAGGCCAAGCACAGTGGCTCACACCTGTAATCCCAGCACGTTGGGAGACCAAGGCAGACTGAGGCCAGGAGATAGAGACCAGCCTGGGCAATATAGTGAGATCCTGTCACTGCAAAAATGAAATTTAGGCCTTGTGCAGTGGCTCACTGGCTCGCAGCTGTAATTCCAGCATTTTGGGAGGCCGAGGCAGGCAGATCACCTGAGATAAGGAGTTGGAGACCAGCCTGGCCAACGTGATGAAACCCTGTCTCTACTAAAAATACAAAAAATTAGCTGGGTATGGTGATGCACAGCTATAATTCCAGCTTCTGAGAGGCTGAGGCAGGAGAAACACTTGAACTCAGGAGGCGGAGGTTGCAGTGAGCCGAGATTGTACCACTGTACTCCAGGCTGGATGACAGAATGAGACTGTCTCAAAAAAAAAAAAAAGTACATTACAAATTATATCAGTACAGAAGTAAATGTATTTAATAAACAAAATGGCCAAAACATTTTCACGTCTATGGCCATACAACCCTGAACACACCCGATCTCGTCAGATCTCAAGCAAAGCAGGGTTGGGCCTGGTTAGTACTTGGATGGGAGACCGCCTGGGAATACCAGGTGCTGTAGGCCTTAAAAAAAAAAAAAAAAAAAAAAAACATTTTCACTTTTGTGGTGGCTGATGAAAAAATTTGGGGGACTATTAAGATACAAATGCAGTATATCGCACAACAAACAAAAATCTCAGATTCAATTCTCTTATTTGTACCCTGTATTTCCGCATGCTTGTAATTTTCTGAATGGTCCACGTTAATTTATCTTTTTTTTTTTTTTTGAGACGGAGTTGCACTCCTTTTGCCCAGGCTGGAGTGCAATGGCATGATCTTGGCTCACTGTGACCTCTGCTTCCTGGGGTCAATTGATTCTCCTGCTTCAGCCTCCTGAGTAGCTGGGACTACAGGCACATGCCACCACGCCTGACAAATATTTGTATTTTTAGTAGAGACAGGGTTTCACCATGTTGGCCAGGTTGGTCTCCATCCCTTGGCCTCGTGATTTGCCCGCCTCAGCGTCTCAAAGTGCTGGCATTATAGGTGTGAGCCAGCGAGCCTGACCTAAAAACCCCGTATGTTTCATAAGTGGTTTTTCTTTTTTTTTTTTCTTTTTCGTTGAGACGGAGTTTCGTTCTCGTTGCCCAGGCTGGAGTGCAATGGCATGATCTCGGCTCACCGCAACTTCCGCCTCCTGAGTAGCTGGGACTACAGGCGCCCGCCACCACATCCCGCTAATTTTTTTGTATTTTTAGTAGAGATGGGGTTTCACCATGTTGCTCAGGATGGTCTCACCTTGTGACCTTGTGTTCCACCTGCCTTGGCCTGCCAAAGTCTTGGGATTACAGGTGTGAGCCACGGTGCTCGGCCCTAATTTTGTATTTTTAGTAGAGATGGGCTTTCTCCATGTTGACCAGGCTGGTCTTGAACTCCTGACCTCAGGTGATCTACCCCTTGCCACCTAGCCTCCCAAAGTGCTGGGATTATAGGCATGACCACTATGCCCGGCTCATAAGTGGTTCTAATGCTTATTTTTTAACTGCTTCATCAGTGTTTCATACATGTACTGTATCGGTATTTCCTGACAATAGAAGCCATTTTAGTTTCTTGCTTCATTTTTTTTCATGTCAGGAAGGAAAAGTGGCTTTTCATTTTCACTACTAAGGAAGAAACCTTAAAAGGGAGTTTGATTGTAAAAGGCTGAATTAAGTAGCATATGATTTTTAAATCTCATTGAAATAATTGTAAAGCTTTGTCTTTATGTTTTAAATGTTTTTTAAATTATGGTATTTTTCTATAATTAGCTAATATCTCAAGGCATAATATATACATAGAACAAGGATAATATATATAAACACATTTCAAATGGTGACCTGAATTGTTTGACCAACTTGTCAGATATGATTGGGTTTATTTATTTTATTTTATTTTATTTATTTTTTTTTTTGAGACGGAGTTTCACTCATGTTACCCAGGCTGGAGTGCAATGGTGCGATCTCGGCTCACCGCAACCTCCGCCTCCTGGGTTCAGGCAATTCTCCTGCCTCAGCCTCCTGAGTAGCTGGGATTACAGGCACACACCACCATGCCCAGCTAATGTTTTGTATTTTTAGTAGAGACGGGGTTTCACCATGTTGACCAGGATGGTCTCGATCTCTTGACCTCGTGATCCACCCACCTCGGCCTCCCAAAGTGCTGGGATTACAGGCTTGAGCCACCGCGCCCGGCCAGGTTTATTTATTTTTTTAATTTCATCATGTGGATGATACAAATAGAAAGTAAAGTGTCAGCTTTGCTGTTTTATTTTTTCCTTGTGCTTCTGTTCTACCTACAGGCATTTTGTTATTTCGTAGAATCTTTTTTTTTTTGAGATGGAGTGTTGCTCTGTCACTCAGGCTAGAGTGCAGTGGCATGACCTTGGCTCACTGCAACCTCTGCTTCCCTGGTTCAAGCAAGTCTTCTGCCTCAGCTTCCTAAGTAGTTGGGATTACAGGAGTTTGCCACCACACCCAGCTAATTTTTGTACTTTTATTAGAGACAAGGTTTTACCATCTTGGCCAGGCTTGTCTTGAACTCCTGATCTTGTTATCCACCCACCTCGGCCTTCCAAAGTGCTGGGATTACAGGCTTCAGCCACCTTGTAGAATCTTTTTTTTTTTTTTTTTTTTTTTGGTGACGGAGTCTCGAATTGTTGCCCCAGCTGGAGTGCAGTGGCGCCATCTCAGCTCACTGCAGCCTCCCTCTCTTGGGTTCAAGTGATTCTCCTGCCTCAGCCTCTCGAGTAGCTGGGATTACAGGGGCCTGCCACCATGCCCAGCTAAGTTTTTCTATTTTTAGAAGAAACAGGGTTTCACTCTGTTGGCCAGGCTGGTCTCAGACTCCTGACGTCGTGATTCGCCCACCTCAGCCTTCCAAAGTACTGGGATTCCAGGTGTCAGCCACTGTGTCCAGCCATCTTTTTAAGTTACCACTTGTGCATTTTGCTGGGGTTGTTTGGTTAAAGTAAGATGAAATCCATCAGTTTACTTGACTGGGTAATCAGAAATAGCTGTATGTCTGAAATTGTAAATTGAGTGGGGGCCCCATTCTCTACCCTTTTGCAATATGGATCTTGCCTATAGAGTGGCTCACAAATCAGACAGTAACTCTGTCATAAGGACAAGGGACAGTTAACCACTGCCAGTCTTACTTTAAATATGTTAGTAAAACATAGTTTTTCTTAATTCTTAAATAAAATATAAATGGAAGATCTATTATTTACTTTCTATACTACTGTAGATCATTTGGAGACATCCTACCTTGAGTTAACTGGTTTACAGGACTTTAAGAATTTAATACTTGTAATGTACACCACACTGAATTTAAAAAAATTAATTTGGAAATATATCCATAGATTTTTAAACTTTTCATTTTTCATTTGTCTGTTTTACACCACAAAAGATAATGTCCTACATAAAATTACTTTTTACTGGTCAGGCGTGGTGGGTCACACCTGTAATTAATTGCAGCACTTTGGGAAGCTGAGGCAGGTGGATCACCTGATGTCAGGAGTTTGAGACCAGCCTGGCCAACATGGTGAAACCCTGTTTCTATTAAAAATACAAAAACTAGCTGGGTGTCGTGGCAGGCACCTGTAATCCCAGCTACTCAGGAGGTTGATGTAGGAGAATTGCTTGAACCTGGGAGGTGGAGGTTTCAGTGAGCCAAGATCAAGCCATTGCACTCTAGCCTGGGTGACAAGAGTGAAACTCCCAACTCAAAAATAAAATTACCTTTTCCCATATAGACATTGTGGCAAACTATTGAAATGGTTTAATATAGAACAAGAATGTGGTTTGGATTCTTTAAGCTATTTTATTAGACCAAGCATAAAATATCTCTAATTACAACCAATAACTTTTGTTTCCTTTCATGTATATTTTAAATTGTATTTTCATTTGACTTAACATGCTTCTTCAAAGTGATTTATACATATTTCTTACTTGTTTGAATCGAGCATGTATTCACAACATTCTTATACCTCACAAATTGTTTCTTCGGGTCTGGCACCTTGCCACTTTAAATCCTTTTTCAGTGAAAAGCCCTTCTCTAACTAGTCTAACACTACAGGTGTACTAACTTTTTCTTTTCGGCTGCAGGTGAAGTTATGGAAAATAATGAACATGATGTAACTGCTAGTGAATTAGATCCCTTTTTGACAAACTCATCTGAAAGTGAGATGTTTGCTTCTGAATCAAGTAAAAGCCTAACAGAAGAGCAACAACAAAGAATTGAGAGAAATAAACAACTGGCCTTGGAAAGAAGGCAGGCAAAGCTGCTGAGTAATACTCAGTCCCTAGGAAATGGTAAATTTTATGCCAGATTTTATGTGCTACTGTTAATATATCAAGGATATGTTAGAAATTTTAACTTCGTTGCTGGCCCCCAAAATAAAATACTTCTAGGAGTAGAAAAGTGTGATACTAAGTTTATGTATATTTTACAGACAATGAGTGTGAGAGAAGAGAGACAATGTGTGTGTTCCTCAAAGAATAAATCCACGATGGTTTTCTGGATAGCCGAGTACCTCTTAAAAAATTACTTTAATCACTTGGCTGGGCACAGTGGCTCATGCCTGTAATCCCAGCACTTTGGAAGGCCTAGGTGGGAGGATCACCTGAGGTCAGGCATTCAAGGCTGACCTGGCCAACATGGTGAAACCCTGTCTCTACTAAAAATATAAAAATTAACTAGGCATAGTGATGTGCGCCTGTCATCCCAGCTACTTGGGAAGCTGAGGCAGGAGAATTGCTTGAACCCAAGAGGTGGAGGTTGCAGTGAGCTTAGATTGTCCCATTGCGCTGCAGCCTGGGCGACAAGGGCAAAACTCCGTCTCAAAAATAAATAAATAAATAAACAAAAGAGGCCAGGCGAATTGGCTCATGCCTGTAATCCCAGTACTTTGGGAGGCTAAGGCGGGTGGATCATGAGGTCAGGAAATTGAGACCATCCTGGCCAACATGGTAAAACCCCATCTCTACTAAAAATATGAAAATTAGCCGGGCATGGTGGTGTGTGCCTGTAATCCCAGGTACTCGGGAGGCTGAGGCAGGAGAATCACTTGAACCTGGGAGGTGGAGGTTGCAGGAAGCTGAGATTGCACCACTGCTCATCCCAGCTACTCCAGAGGCTGAGGCAGGAGAATCACTTGAACCTGGGAGGTGGAGGCTGCAGTGAGCTGAGATCACGCCACTACACTCCAACCTGGGTGACAGAGTGAGACTCCGTCCCTCTCTCCCCCCCAAAAATGCTTTTTCTTGTGTTTTGTCACTTGTTAGCTGTACTTAAAAGTAGCTTCTTAATTTGCCCACCTGTAGAGCATCCCCATCTCACTTCTAAAACTGCCTGAAAATTAGGTTTATTTAAAAATATATTATTATGACTATTTTTAGAAATGTTCTCAATCTGTCACCCTGGCTAGAGTGCAGTGGTGTGATCTTGACTCACTGCAGCCTTGAACTTCTGGTCTCAAGCAGTCCTCCAGTGTTGGCCTCCCAAAGTGCTGGGATTACAGGTATGAGTCACTGGACCTGGCCTCAATTTGCTGGTTTTTTTTTTTTTTTTTTTTCTTTCTTTCTGAATACCAGTAATATCAGGATATAAATTTGCTGTTTTTAACACAGATTGTGGGTTTGGAAACTACATAACCAAGTTCGTTAAAACTATATTTAGAAAGAATTGCAAGCTGGTTTTGAATGAAGTAAGCGGACTGCATATATTTTTCTCAATTTCCAATTCAGTTTTTCCTTTCAAAATGGAAAAATAAGAATTATAGGCCCAGTACAGTTGCTCTTGCCTGTAATCCCAGCGCTTTGGGAGGCTGAGGCAGCAGATCACTTGAGCCTGGAAGTTCAAGACCAACTTGGGCAACGTAGACCCTGTCTCTACAAAAAATAATAAGTAGATACCATGTTGTAAAAGAAGCTTCACCCGGATTGGGTGCGGTGGCTCACACCTGTAATCTCAGCATTTTGAGGGGCTAAGGCGAGCAGATCACCTGAGGTTGGGAGTTCGAGACCAGCCTGACCAACGTGGAGAAACCCCATCTCTACTTAAAAATATAAAATTAGCAGTGTGTGGTGACGCATGCCTATAATCCCAGCTACTCAGGAGGCTGAGGCAGGAGAATTGCTTGAACCCAGGAGACGGAGGTTGTGGTGAGCTGAGATGGCGCCATTACCTAATACTCTAGCCTAGGCAACAGGAGCGAAACTTTGTCTCAAAAAAAAAGATACAGCCAGTATATTAAAATTTTCAAGTGAAAATTATTTTGGCTACCTTTTTTTTTTTCAGTTAGGATGAATTTTCTTTTTCTTTTTTGAGATGGAGTCTCACTCTATAGACCAGGCTGGAGTGCAGTGGTGTGATCTTGGCTCACTGCAGCCTCTGCCTCCCAGGTTTCCCAGGTTCAAGCAATAACCCTGCCCCAGCTTCCTGAGTAGGCTCCTCCTCCTGAGTGGTGTCACCACATCCGGCTAATTTTTGTATTTTTAGTAGGGATAGGATTTCACTGTGTTGGCCAGGCTGGTCTCAAACTCCTGACCTCATGATCCACCCATCTTAGCCTCCCAAAGTGCTGGGATTACAGACATTAGCCACCGCACCGGGCTGAATTTACTTTTTCTTTATACTTGGATGTTTTATTAGTACCATGTGAAACATTACATGAAGATAGCATTATTCTTGATGGCAGTGGCTTCTTTGCTGTGGCAATTGGTATTTAAAGCTCACCTTTTGTTTATCATATACAACTTAAAATTTATCCAAATGGAAATAAGTACCTTAAAGTTTCTTATGGATCACTCTGACATACAACGTAAACGTGTTTCATTTTTATTAGACCTCTTTCTCGTAGTTTTGCTTTTTTTTTTTTTTTTAAGATGTAGCCTTGCTGTGTCACCCTGGCTGGGGTGCAGTGGCTGATCTCGGCTCACTGCAGCCTCCACCTCCCAAGTTCAAGTGATTCTCCTGCCTTAGCCTCCCAAGTAGCTGGGATTACAGGCGTGCTTCACCACACCCGGTTAAGTTTTGTATTTTTTGTAGAGATGGGGTTTCACCTTATTGGCCAGGCTGGTCTCGAATTCCTGGCCTTGAGTGATCTGTCTGCCTTGGCCTCCCAAAATGTTGAGATTACAGGTATGATCCACTGTGCCCGGCCAGGAGTAGTTTTGATTTTGAATGACAACAGTTAAATTTGACTATGATCCAAGAATGTGAGTTTAATAACATTCAAAATCCTTTTGCTTTTTTTCTTTTTGGCGACAGGGTCTCACTTTGTCACTCAGGCTGGAGTGCAGTGGTGTGATCACAGTTCACCACCACACCCAGCTAATTTTTTTTTTTGTTTTGTTGAGATGGGGGTCTCACTATGTGGCCCAGGCTAGTCTTGAACTCCTGAGATCAAATGATTCTCCCACCTCAGCCTCCCAAAGTGTTTGGATTGGACCTGGCCTCTTTTACATTTCAAATGGATCTTATACATGTATAAACATGGGTTTATTGGCCAGGCATGGTGGCTCATGCCGGTAATCCTAGCACTTTGGGAGGCTGAGGTGGGCGGATCACCCGAGGTCAAAAGTTCGAGACCAGCCTGGCCAACATAGTGAAACCCCGTCTCTACTAAAAATACAAAAATTAGCTGGGTGTGGTGGTGGGCGCCTGTAATCCCAGCTACTTGGGAGGCTGAGGCAGGAGAATCGCTTAAACCCAGGAGGCAGAGGTTGGAGTGAGCCGAGATTGCGCCATTGCGCTTCAGCCAGATGACAGAGCGAGACTCCATCTCAAAAAATAAGAAAAAGGTTTATTTAGAAGAAAGTGATCGTCATTAAGTGATCATAGATTTTATTTTACTAAACTAAGCTTTTGTAGAGGTTTGTTCTTATGTGGTAAGATTGGATCAGGTACTTATAATGAATAATGGTATGATTTCTTTCAGATATGTTAATGAACACACCCAGGGCACAGACAGTTGAAGAGCTTAATACGGATGAGGATCAAAAGGAGGAGTCAAATGGATTAAAAGAAGACATTCTAGACAATTCATGTAATCATACTAATACTTTAAATGTAGAGGAGGAATTAAAATTAGGGGAAACACTGCTGGACCAATCTTAAAAATGTGCAACAGTAACTTGATGCGTCATCCAGAAATACTACGGAAGCTGGTTAGGTTTCCATTAAGAGTAAATGTGTCTGTTAACTCACCCTCCTGCAAGCTTGGTGTTACTATGCATTTTTCTTATTTGAGTGGAAATCCTTAGGTAGTAAAAAATTTTTACAGATTTTTGTTTAACATCTGGTAATCTGGTATTTGTTTACGTTTGTCCCTTTAGTTAAATCTGTTCTCTTTAGTGTTTGTTTTTATGTAGGTATTTCTTCATAAAATGGTTAGTCGGTAATAAGCAGCTTCTTCTGCTGTTCATCTGTTATTGAATGCCTTGTTTTCACTAAGTTGGGAGGTTTTGTTTTTGTTTTTTACTGCTCTTTGCAGAGCAGGGCTAACCCATGGACAGTGTATCCAGAGTCACCTGGGTGAAGTTTTAACATGTACATATATATTCAATATTAATGTATTTTTTTCAAGGAAGTAAAAATTATCTTAAAAGCTATCTACAGGCTTTATGGAAGGTTTTCATTGCTATTTAGTTCTGGAGTTTATACTTTTGGTAAATACAAGGCTTTTGCATGTTTTTTAAGGAATTGTTTTAATACTTAAAAGGTCACATGAAAGGCTGATTACTGCCTGGTCCTCATAGGAAACAGGGTAGTTCAAAGAATGTTTTTCGGTAACTTACTGACTAATTGGAGTGAAGCTTGCGAAGTATCATGGGGAACACAGCATCTAAGGAGGATTCATAGGATAGACTGCATTTGGTGGAGGAGATTCCAAGTATGGGTAAGCACATGTACAATAATGACAAATAATGATTGAGGGGATAAGGGAGATTTTAGGAATGCTGATTTTGAGGCTAGAAGCGTTCGGGCCAAATTGTGAGAAGACCTGATTGGAGTTCTTCCTGCCAGGTAGAGGGGTAATTACAAATAAGAAAGGTTAGCATTAGGAAAGGCTCTCCCATCTCCCACCCCACTCTCTCACCACTATAGTGTGTGTGTGTGTGTGTGTGAGAGAGGAGAGAGAGAGAGAGAGAGAGAGAGAGAGAGAGAGAAGGTCTCACTGTCACTTAGTGGCCCAATTCTAACTCACTGCAGCCTGAAAGTCCTGGGGCCCAAGCTGTTCTCTTGCCTTAGCTTCCCAAGTAGCTGTGACTGCAGGCATGTATCATTATGCCTGGCTAATTTTTTAATTTTTGTAGAGATGGTGTCTCTCTGCATTGACCAGGCTGGTCCTGGACTCCTGGCCTCAGGTGATCTTCCCTGGCACTTGGCCTCTCACCTCCTTTTCCCTTGGGGAAAGGGGAGAATGATGGTGCTGTAGTGGCTTCCATCTACAAAGCCAGGACAGGCAGGCATCTTTTCTTCAGGGTTTCTGACTTCAGGTGGGGATAGGGAGTAAAAAAGATGGTTTGATTGAAAAGCCAGGAAGTTGAGCACAGGGAGAACATCTGGGATGGGGCAGGGGAGGGGACTGTGGGCCTGCTGGAAACTGCCACAGGGATGGGCCACGAGGCATGTGTATCAGGAGAACTGTGGCTAACTACAGCTATTAGGGGATCAGCTAGAAGATGGAGAGCAGTTTCTTTCTTTCTTTTTTTTTTTTTTGAGACGGAGTTTCGCTCTTGTTGCCCAGGCTGGAGTGCAATGGCGCGATCTCGGCTCACCGCAACCTCTGCCTCCTGGGTTCAGGCAATTCTCCTGCCTCAACCTCCTAAGTAGCTGGGATTACAGGCACGAGCCACCATGCCCAGCTGATTTTTTGTATTTTTAGTAGAAACGGGGTTTCACCATGTTGACCAGGATGGTCTCGATCTCTTGACCTCGTGATCCATCCGCCTCAGCCTCCCAAAGTGCTGGGATTACAGGCGTGAGCCACCGCGCCCGACTGAGAGCAGTTTCAAGGTGCCACCAATGCCTACAGAAACTGCTTCCTCAAGAGGGCCTATTCCTGCTTCTCTCTACCCTCACAAAACTATATTAAATAACAGAAAGAAGAGCTAATTTTTTTTGATAGAGTTTCACTCTGTTGCCCAGGCTGGAGTGCAGTGGGGTGATCTCGGCTCACTGTAACTTTCACCTTCCAGGTTCAAGCAATTCTTCGCCTCAGGCTCCCAGGTAGCTGGGATTACAGGCACCCGTGACCATGGCTGGCTAATTTTTTTGTATTTTTAGTAGAGACAGGGTTTCACCATCTTGGCCGGGCTGGTCTTGAACTCCTGACCTCATGATCCACCTGCTTCGGCCTCCCAAAGTGCTGGGATTATAGGTGTGAGCCACAGTGCGCAGCCAAGAGTTAATTTTTCTAGTAGGGGGTTTGCTGGCAAAGTAACATGTTTCCAACAAGGGGAAGGTCAGTGTACCTCATCCAAGTGGGAGGGTGGGAAGGGAGGCCTGTGACGTAGAACTTTCCCTGCACACCCTACCACCCGCCCTGTGTCCTATTCCCAACTAGTACTGGAGACAGCAGGGAAGGGTTGTGTCAAATAGGAAACAGGGGTTTTTAAGTGGAGAGGTGGACTCAGGACTAAGTCTTACTATCAAGTGACTGAAAATTATCGGACAGATGTCAAAATCCATTTGTCCTATGACCCAAATGGATTCGTAATTACTGGAAAAATAAAACATTTGAAAGAGCTGATTTGAGACAAGATAACCAATAATTTTGGGTTTATTAAAATTACTAAAAAGGGGCTAGCGATCTGCAGAGCCACCACTTACTATCCACTCATTCCTGAAAACTCAGTTTAAAAAGTGACCTAATTATACTTAATTTAATGCGAGTTTAATGAGTGAGAGAACATTTTACATGTATGTAAAATAGCCACCCAGTCCTGATCGACTAGAGTGACACACATTAAATGTTAGGTTTGAAGACTGTAAAACATTCACGTGGCAGCTCTTAGTGCAGTCAGAGTCCTTCATATTCCGTAATTGTTTGAAACGTCCAGGAGGGCCAGGTCCCTTATCTCCTCCAGAAGTGCATACAGGCTCCTTCCCTTTGTTTGACAATATTCTTGATATTCTTCCTGAATGATGTTTACTTTGACTTCTTGGGCAAGCTGAGCTTCTTCCACAGATTTAGTTACTTCTTTCACTAACTCACTCTTCAGCAAGGGGGAACCCTGGTGAAAAAGCTCTGTATTTGGTAACTTGTATGGTTGGTTACTTATTATTTCAAGTCGGATGGTATCAGAATGGCAGCGTGAGGCCTGTACAGATATTCTTACCTAGCATAGAGAAGAAAATACATTACTAAATCATACTATTTGTTCTTTACGTTTAAAATATTAATAATACTTAATAGAAATACAGACTTACGGTTACATGGTCAAACAAATGGAATGTAACAGATTCCCCATCTGTTGTAGTAGAGGTAATTTTGTTTTGAAATCGTTGAAGGGATCCTGGTTTCCATTCAGAACGGCTGTCTGGGCCACATGAGATGACTAAACCATCTTTATTTTTTAGATAAGCAGCACCTTTAATCCCAAACCTATATTTTGGCCAGAATATAAATCCAGAGACAATGTATTCTTAGTACACAGATCTTTTTTTTTTTTTTTTTGAGACAGAGTCTTGTTTTGTTGCCAGGCGCCAGGCTGGAGTGCAGTGGCGCAATCTCAGCTCACTGCAACCTCTCCCTCCCGGGTTCAAATAATTCCCCTGCCCCAGCCTTCCTGAGGAGCTGGGACTACAGGCGTGCACCACCACACCCAGCTCATTTTTTTTTTTTTTTTTTTTGAGACAGAGTTTCGCTCTTGTTACCCAGGCTGGAGTGCAATGGCGCGATCTCGGCTCACCGCAACCTCCGCCTCCTGGGTTCAGGCAATTCTCCTGCCTCAGCCTCCTGAGTAGCTGGGATTACAGGCACGCACCACCATGCCCAGCTGATTTTTTTGTATTTTTAGTAGAGACGGGGTTTCACCATGTTGACCAGGATGGTCTCGATCTCTTGACCTCGTGATCCACCCACCTTGGCCTCCCAAAGTACTGGGATTACAGGCTTGAGCCACCGCACCCGGCCCGCTCATTTTTTTTTTTTTTTGTCGTTTAGTAGAGACGGGGTTTCATCATGTTGGCCAGGATGGTCTCGATCTCTTGACCTCATGATCCGCCTGCTTTGGCCTCCCAAAATGCTGGGATTACAGGCGTGAGCCACTGTGCCTGACTGTACACAGATCTTATATGCTTATCTTAGAATACTAGTTTTTCTCCTAGATTAAAAACAAATCACTTTTCCTGTGGTTTACCTCCAAGAATTTATTTCACCTTAGCAGATGGAAACAAAGTGTTTTGCTGGATTAGAAAGACCCTAAAATGGATACAGATGAATATATATATATATATATGTATTCCAATCTTTTTTTTTTTTTTTGAGACAGAGTCTTGCCCTGTCGCCCAGGCTGGAGTGCAGTGGCACAATCTTGGCTCACTGCAACGTCTGCCTCCTGGGTTCAAGCAATTCTCCTGCCTCAGCCTCCCGAGTAGCTGGGATTATAGGCACGCACCACCATGCCTGGCTAACTTTTGTATTTTTAGTAGAGATGGAGTTTCTCCATGTTGGCCAGGCTGGTCTTGAACTCCTGACCTCAGGTGATCCACCCATCTCAGCCTCCCAAAGTGCTGGGATTACTGGCGTAAGCCACTGCACCTAGCCTCCAATCTTGACATTTATATTCTGAATTATACATTACATTATGTACATATGATAACAAGTTGCTTAAAATTTTTTTTTAGTTTTTTTATTTTTCTGAGATGGAGTCTTGCTCTATTGCTCAGGCTGGAGTGCAGCTGTGCAATCTCAGCTCACTACAAAATCTGCCTCCCGGGTTCAAGTGATGCTCCTGCCTCAGCCTCCTTAGTAGCTGGGATTATAGGTGCGTGCCACCATGCCTGGCTAATTTTTGGATTTTTAGTAGAGATGGGGTTTCACCATGTTGGTCAGGTTAGTCTTGAACTCCTGATCTTGTGATCTGCCTGCCTTGGCCTCCCAAAGTGCTGGGATTACAGGCATGAGCCACCGCGCCCAGCCTGTTTAAATAGTTTAATAAATAATATCTAATATACGGTTTGTATTCTATACTTTTAGTTTATGATTTCGTATGCGTCATTGCATTGGATGTAACATACCTTGGTATAAATACAAGCACACCATTTGTTCGAATTGAATAAATAACTCCATCAGATATGCAACGCTCCTCGGTGTCAGGGTCTTTGTCTTTGAAGTACATGCACTGGAAGAGCTCAGTAGACTGCTTCTGAGAATGCTGTGCTGCCTATAAGAAGCACAACTCCAAAGCATTATAACACTCCCCTGGCATTTCCCGAAGAAAAGAAATTCATATTCATTCAAAGGTGAGATTCTGTAAAACTGTTAATATGAAAATTGTTCTCTGTTGTGTAATTTTTGTGAGAACTTAACCATCTAGTATTATCTCCTCAAAATGTCTTAGAAAATGAATTATTTTATAAAATGAAACCCATTTATAGTTTATAGAAATTAAGGGTCAGCAAATTGGGGACATGTCCATCTTGGGAACAGGAAAAGTATCACACATGTCTTACTTGCCTTTCTTTTCAAGCCTGTTATACCAAAACTCTACCGGTGGATGTATGAATTAGCATTACTGATAAGGAAGACAATTTAGTAATATGTATCAAAAGTTTCTTCTTTTTTTTGAGATGGAGTCTCACTCTGTAGGCCAGGCTGGAGTGCAATGGCATGATCTTGGCTTCCTGCAACCTCCGCCTCTTGGGTTCAAGCAATTCTCCTGCCTCAGCCTTCCGAGTAGCTGGGATTATAGACGTGCACCACCAGGCCTCGCTAATTTTTGTATTTTTAGTAGAAATGGGGTGTCATCATGTTGGCCAGGCTCGTCTCGAACTCCTGACCTCAGGTGATCTAACCGCCTTGGCCTTGAAAGTGCTGGGATTATAGGTGTGAGCCGCCGCAGCTGGCCTTTCAAGGTTTCATTTGTACATGCATATCTTTCAGCTCAGCAATTCCATTTCTAGGAATTTATCCAGGCAATCATTTGAAATGTCTGTATAAGTGTATCCACAAGGATGGTTGTAAATTGGATTGCCTAGAACAGTGCTGCCCAACAGAACTTTCTGCAATGATGGAAATGCCCTTTGCCTGTGTTGCCCTATAGGTAGTCACCAACCACAAGTCGCCACTGAATATGTGCAATGTGACCACTATGTCCGAGGAACCAAACTTCTAATTTTAATTTAAGTATCCAGCATGGCTAGTGCTACAATATTGCACAGCAGACAACTATACCATTGGATACAGGAAATTACATTAAACATGTAGTTAGTTTCTAATTTCCTGCATTACCCAATGGTCTAGTTCTATGCTGGGCAATCTTGTAGCAACTAGTAATATGAAATAGAATAGAAAGCAGCTTCAAAGAATGATGTAACATGGTACGCTATCAATAACATTTCAGTTACAGGAAAAAAGCGGATTTCAAGCAGCAGGCACGTATGATATTTTTATAAATAAAAATCTAAGCACTGTCTAGAGTCATTAATGGTTAGCCGTGGGCAGTAGGATGACAGGGGATGTTTCTGTCTTCTCTTGTTTTTTTGAAACAGAGTCTTACTCTGCACTCAGAGTGCCCAGCCTGGTGTGCAATGGCGCGATCTTGGCTCACTGCACCCTCCGCCTCCTGGGTTCAGGCAATTCTCCTGCCTCAGCCTCCCGAGTAGCTGGGACTACAGGCACACGCCACCATGCCCAGCTAATGTTTTGTATTTTTAGTAGAGACGGGGTTTCACCATGTTGGCCAGGCTAGTCTTGAACCCCTGACCTCAGGTGATCCGCCCGCCTCGGCCTTCAAAGTGCTAGGATTACAGGCGTGAGCTACAGTCCCCAGCCCCTATCTTTTTTTTTTTTTTTTTTAAGATGCATTCTCACTCTCAACCAGGCTGGAGTACAGTGGCACGATCTCAGCTCACTGCAACCTCTGCCTCCTGGATTCAAGCGATTCTCCTGCCTCAGCCCTCCGAGTAGCTGGGACTGCAGGGGCGCACCACCACGCCCGGCTAGTCTTTTATAGCTTTGGTAGAGTCGGGGTTTTACCATATTGGCCAGGCTTCTCTCAAACTCCTGACCTCAAGTGATATGTCTGTCTCGGCCTCCCAAAATGCTGGGATTACAGTAAATCTTTATATTTCTACCTTTTGGGGGAAAACACTAATCATCTACTGTCAAATCTCCCAAATCCACAAAAGTTACCTGAGAACATCTGCAAATGTAATGAAAGCACTAGTTAGAATTATTCTGGAATTTAATTTGTTAGAATGTATGATACTTCACCCTACCACACAATAAAGCAGATACTCTGTTAGCAAGAGATGACAGGTAAGAGAATTTGAAAATTCCCTCTTACTCGGTTTCTGTTGTTGATATGTCTGCATAATTCCTCAAGATCTTTGTTGCTGAACAAATTTCCCTTAATTTCCATTTTCTTTTCTTTTGAAATGGCTGCCAATAACAAGCGGTGTACGACAATATCCGAATATCTTCTTATTGGAGAAGTAAAGTGAGTATATTTATCTAACGCGAGACCTTCAAAAAGAAAGCAAAATATCAACATAAACGAGAAATTTTTTTTTTTTTTTTTTTTTTTTTTG